ATAGTAATAAATATTGAGCAAAAACTATATGATATCTAATTGGCTATCGTATTACACGATTTTTTTATTGAATCAAACTTCTCTCAAATTCAAAACTTTACTACTACCTAGAGCAGCACCAAGTTTATAAAATGGATGTGTTAGGCCTAAATGTCTAATTTAACTCTCAGGCTAGAGGCTAGGTTAGGTAGTAGTGAGTAGGTACCTTAAGGCTAAAATACCTACACAGTACATGGACATGGAGTAATGACTGATAGAGCATTATGCCATTATTATAGCACCTGTTATCATAAATGGCAGAATAAAAATAACGTGGAATGAATCCAGTACTAACTACTGAATACTGATGTGTCTTGTGAGGTTGTGACTTGCGTCACATTGGTTTGGACTTTGGACTATTTTTGAAAACTAGGATAATTCTAAATAAATAATGCTATCAAAGTATCTATTAATAATCAATATGCATGCAGTGTCCTGTCTGTAACTTGTAAGGTCTTTTTTTAAGGTGGATGATGCATGATGGAGTAGGTATCTGAGTACCTATGACTAATGATAAATTGCCTATTAGAATAGAATGGAAGAGAAGTGTTGGCACTGGAGAAATAGGCCCATGGGATGATGGGCCCATGGCCTGTTGCAGATTTGATTACTTTTCAAGATTTGATTCACTAGGACTCCAGGGCCCAGGTGCCAGCCTTTGGAACTTAGGGTAAACGCGGTATATTCCGACATCGTAGGTAATTCCGTCACTTCTCTAGTTTTTCCTTTATATTAAGCTTTGTTTTAGTTCCATGTGTTCNAGTCTGACCACTCTATTCAGTCTAATGTGACTGCAACTACGTAATCGTAAGCTTGATGTTTACATTTTTTTGGCGGGAACTCCTCGCAACTGATTTCCGGACAAGCTTCACTGCATCCTGATCTATCCAACATATAGGAAACCTTACTTTTTTTTAAATAGTTGGCTGAAGACTGTCAAATATAATAAATGCGAGATCTGTGCCGCCAAGATCTTCTGAAGGTGTAAATTTTGCTACTGAAGCGTCACCAAAGGTCTTGCAATATTCATCCACTCTCTGCACAGTGGCTTGTATACTTCAATGAGGTCACCATGCAGATGTCTAATGGAGGCTTGGAAGCTTCATAATTTTCAATCTTTCTTAATAAGGCTTGCCTTTTAATCCCGGAATTATCCTTGTTGCATGTCTTTGAACACTCTTGACAAAATTTTTGTCTTTTTCTAGTTTTGGTGACCTGACCACACTGCATTTCCAAACTCTAGGTTTGGATGCATGACTGTGACAAACAACAGCTTCATCGCTTCAGTATCTATGTACTTGTAAGAGCGTCTGATCAGTCCAAGTCATTGATTGGCTTTATTTACTTGAGCTTCAATATGCTTAGAAAATTTCAGCTTATTGTCGACAATAACTCCTAAGTATTTTTCCATTGTCGACTTCAACATCATCACTCTTTTGTTGCAACCATGTTTTCTCATACTGTAATCTTGCTGTTCATCATTCTTGCCAAGGTGAATTTTTTTCCATTTGTCAGCGTTAAGATGCAGCTGCCACTTATCAGCCCAGTCAACCAGCCTGTCAAGATCACCTTGTAACTGTACTTTTTGCAATGTATTCTTCACTGTACTATAAACTTTTGTGTTGTCAGCATACATAGAGCACACACTAGACACAGCTTCTGGCAGATCTTTTATAAACGCAACAAATAAAACAGGCCCAAAAACGCTTCCTTGTGGCGCGCTGCTGCACACTGAAGCCTAGTCTGATACGATCCCATTAAAACTGACACATTGTCTCCCTACTAGAAAATCTGTGATCAATTTGAGTACATTACTCACAATTCCCAAAGACTTCAATTTTTTGCAACAGTTGCTTGTGTGGGACACTGTCAAATGCCTTGGCAAAATTGAGGTACACTGCATCTACTGGCTCCCTTTCATCCAGCAGGCAGGTCCATTCATTCAGAGTAGACAAGAGGTTAGTGGTGCAGGATCTACAGGCAATAAAGCCATGTTGACAGTCTAATAAGACATCATTAACATTCAAATGCTCCATCAATTGATCCCTAACAACAGATTCCATTATCTTGCAAATGACACTTGTCAAACTGACAGGGCGATAGTTGCCCGGGCAGCTTTTGTCACCTTTTTTGAACAAAGGTGTCACTTGAGCTTCTTTCCATTCCAGTCAGCCAGCAAGATCCCTTTGTTCAAAGTTTAAAAAGAAAAAAATGATGGCTTAGGGCCGGCTAGGATGGTTGCTAACTCTTGAGTAATCTGGGGTGGAAGCCATCTAGTCCACATGACTTGTTGGGATTAAGAGTGATCAGGCCTGTTGCCTTACTTGCTATCCAAACTGGAAAATCTGGCAAAACTTGCGAAAGCCAACCATGAATCATAATGAATGAGGCCAAAATAGCTGTGAATGCAATCCACCCATTCACTTTTACTTTCACTAATTTCTTCAGTGAAAAATTGCCACATTTTTGCTGCACTTGTTTAAAACTACTAACCATGAAACAGTTGTTTTTGCCCACATTAAAAGAAAAAATTGCTTGAAATTGTCATTTGGCTGGCCACCTTACCATACTTATGCTGCCAGTCCCATCTTTGATAAACACGATTTTTTTTAGAATTGGAAACAAACAAAAAATTCTAATTTTAATGCTACTAAGGTTGCACTTGTGATTTCCTAAATTTTAATTTTCTAGAAAAATCTAAACTAACTTGATAGGTACCTAGTTAGTAATTATTTTGTGGTATTAAACCCTACATTTTGTAGTTCTGGCCAGTGTAATAGGTATAGTTTTATTGATATTTTGACAAGCAGTTAGTTGAGTGCAGATTGTCAAGTATCTTTTCATATGTAAATAGGTAGCAAGTTAGCATCAACGCGTCTTAACCGTCATTGATTGTTGAGAACTTGATCTGAATATGTTGATTATCAAAAAAATTTCTAACAATTTATTCCTATGAAGAATTGGTCAAATATGAAATGCAATGAATAAATATAAATCTTCTAAAAGAGTCCACTATCAATTTTGATACAGTTCAATCAGAGTCACTGAAATGGACCAGTCATTTCTTACCCTACAATGGCCATGCCAGATTGGACAATTCCTACTTATTACTAAAATATTACAACTCTGAAGTGACATTTTTTAAATGAGTTTGGAATTGTGTGGCTTGATTGTATTCTTTTGGTAATAATTAGAGAGGCGGTAATTTGTCTTGTGGCCAACTTGGGGGAAATGCCTTTAGAATAGTGGGCCAAATTTCACAACAATGAAATTGCTGGCAAAAACTATTATTTACGAGTCATTTTTTAAAATTGCAGGCAAAAATGTCATTTCCTTTTTGTAGAAATAAGTTGAGCAAGGGCAGTAAAATTGGGTGAGATTGACTGCAAGCACTGACATTTTTGTCTCATTCACTGAATTTTCCCCCAATGGGTGGAAATCTTTCAGCTCCAAGAATGGGAGGAAAGCTCTAATTGTGCCTCAAAAATTGAATATTTTCCAGTCCTGTGGCCATGGTTGTTTTACGCTTCATTTTTTCTTATCATCTATTATTGAACATTTATTACTATTTATTACATTATTGATTAATTGAATAAAAAAGTAATAAAAAATTATTTTGACACCACATTTAGATCATTTGATTCAATTATGTTGAAAAAATTACCTCAAAAGGAAAAAATATTCTAAAAATAATTCTGATAATTACCTTTCTCTGTTCAAAGTAGATGAGTGAATTAACCAACACAATTTTTCCTGGTATTGTCAAGACAAAAAGATCTGATCTGGCTTGCAGGTGTGACACCATCATAAACTATTTCACAGTTTGATGCTATTATTACTTTCTTGAAGCTTTCAACAACTTGTATCAAGTATATCTATTTATACCTTTAATATTCCTGTTATTAGTTTAGGAAAAAATTAAAAACAAACAGAGTTACCTATTATGTATTAAACCCTACATTTTGTAGTTCTGGCCAGTGTAATAGGTATAGTTTTATTGATATTTTGACAAGCAGTTAGTTGAGTGCAGATTGTCAAGTGGCTTTTCATATGTAAATTGTGTAGTTTTTCATGGTAAGTTGTAAACTATTACAAAAATTTATGTGGTAAGATAACTCTGAAAATTGTGGTTCTGGACTTGCGACAGTATTATTTTGTTTTTAAATTATTAATATCACTTATTTACTTAAATCGCAAGTTGACTAAAAATTTAAAAGCAAAGAATAGTCCACAAAAATTCATATCTTTATAGAAAACGTTTCGGAGTCCAGCTCCATCGTCAGTTCGTAGAATCTAGAATATACATAGAAAGTCACAATACAATTGAAAGCACAGAACACAATTACGTATAACCTAAATTTACAAGTAATAGTGCATAAAAACCTATCTATTCACAATTTCGAGGGGATTGAAATTTTTTTTTTTTGTTTTTAACAAATCAATTTTTTTTGTTTTTATTGAGAAGTACCAAGTATAGTGCCCAATCTGCCAAGTAGCAAGTTAGCATCAATGCATCCTAACTGTCATTGACTATTGAGAACTTGATCTAGATATTTTTATTATTAAAAAATTTCTAACAATTTACTCCTATGAAGAATTGGTCAAATGTGAAATGCAATGAATAAATATAGGTATGCGGTATCTTCTAAATGAGTCCACTATCAATGTTTCCTGGTATTGTCAAGACAAAATCATCTGATCTGGCTTGCAGGTGTGACACCATTATAAACTATTTCACAGTTTGATGCTATTGCTGTCTTGAAACTTTCAACAACTTGTATCAAGTATATCTATTTATACCTTTAATATTCCTGTTATTAGTTTAGGAAAAAATTAAAAACAAACAGAGTTACCTATTATTAGTTATTTTTGATGGTAAAAATATTTCACTATGATGCTGCTTTGAGCCTTTGACCAAAACCTTGGATTTTGCAGATGAAATTTGTCCTGTTTTTTTTTTCAGATTGTTGCATCAGTGCATGAAAAAATTTTATAATAAGATTTACTGTGGTGTCTGCTACTGTTGGACAAATGTTTCCAGTTAGGTGAGTATATTGCATGTATCCTTTGCAAGTATTTTGAAATACTTGTTGCCTTTTATGCTGAGCTCAGCAATAAAAACTAATATATTTCTTGCCTGAAATTACATTGAAAGATCCTGACGAGCTTCTAGTTGTCTTGCAGTATTCAATTATTAAAATTATACTGGAATCTAAAATCAAAGGCAGGATGAGTTAATTATTGCGTTGTATACAATCCAAACAATCTTCCATCATTCATGTTTTCAGTTGATTGTGTTGCTTGACAAATACTAGCAATCTTCCATCATTTGTGTTTTACCAGTTGACGATTGCATTGCTTGACAAATCTAAGCAATCTTCCATCATTCGTGTTTTCAGTTGATGATTGCATTGCTTAAAAAATCCAAGCAATCTTCCATCATTCATGTTTTCATTTGATGATTGCATAGCTGGACAAATTAAAGCAATCTTCCATCATTCATGTTTTCAGTTGATGATTGCATTGCTTGACAAATCCAAACAATCTTCCATCATTCATGTTTTCAGTTAATGATTGCATAACTGGACAAATTAAAGCAATCTTTTAGCCTTCGTGTTCGCAGTTGATGTTCGATCAATATTTGTTTACTGTTTAATGAAGCTACTAGTTAAAAGTTACAATAATCCAAATTGCAACCATTTGAATTTCGTTCTTTTTGTTTTATTGATGTAGAGATTTGGCGCAAGAAGCAGTAGTTTCGCGCCTACGACTGCAATAGATGCCGTCAGTTCTGCTCATGTAGTGCATGTGGCAAATTTTTATGATGCGTTTTGTTATGATTAATCTCATGTCCCCGATTCTTATAATGAAGTAGGTAATAAGTTATTCTAGTCAGCTGCATCACAATTGTGGTAGCTATACATCATTATGGAAAAAAATGTTTTAATTAACATGGTGAGTCGTCTATGTACAGTTGTGCCCAGATTGTCTCTTTCTGAAAACATGGACATGAAATTCGAAACTTAGAATAACACTCAAATGGAGGCAATTTTGGCACTCTAAATTTCTAATTTTGGTTAGAGAAAAATATTATGATGCGCACCTACTACTGTAATATTGTGGTTACTTAATTTCTAATTTTGGCACTATTCTAATTTTCTAACATTCTAATTTTGGCACTTTAAAATTAGAATGATGAGCGGAAGACAAAAGAAAATTGTGAAGTCGGGTCACCTATCTGCCATTTGATGGTCGGTACAGAACATGAGTGGCGTTCACTTGTAGTTTGCGATGTATGAAGTAGGTAGTTTAAGTAAAGCTACATTCCATAATTCGGACGTTGATTTCACGTTTAACTAAGTCCACCTGCCGACGTTCCATGTGCGCTTGTTCAGTGTAACTATAAGAACTTGATGCTTTTATACCAAACAGTTGTAGCGCACAACTCTCATTGAGCATTACACGCTCATAGAGGTTTTTACGGTCTAAACAGTTTTTAGCTTTGGGTCTCGAAGTATTCACAGCGGATTGTCAGGTCGTTATTGAAACCAGTTTTGATTCTAGGAATTAGGGTTTCCCGACTGACTTTCAATACGCAATAGATATTCTATGGTCACACTGCTGCTCTTTATAAATTCCTCCTCCCCCTCTCTTGTTGGTCTCTCGCCCCCTCAATGTTGCCCCCCACTCTCGTACTCCCGTGCTTGTGAATAATTCACGTCAATAAATCTGCAGGCGTTGTGCAGGCTGCCGCAAGTCTTCGGTATCTTCACCTCCTTGCTACTTGACTATAAAGTAATTCTTTTTGTTCGACCCTATTCGTCCAACAAATGAACTATTTGGTATAGAAATCAAGCGCTGTTCAGTGATCACGGTAGATTTATAGAATTTTTTCTAGCGGCCTCTGGCACCTGATAACCCACGTAGCGTTCCCCCTAACCTCCTCCCCCCCTCCCAAACTCCTTCCTCTGCGAATGCTTTGCACAATTTAGACCGAGTCTATTCGCGTCTTACTTTAAATATATTAAAAATATCAATAATTCCTTCGTCCTCTGTAGACTTATGAGTTACTGAGTGTATAATAGTGGCAATAATAAGCCTATTAATGATATGTGAAGAGGGTAAACCTGCGCCCCTCACCGCTGGCGTACTACACACAATCGCAGTGGCACCGCCAGCTCAGGAAGGCTGGCATCACTGCTCGGTCAGAGCCGTACTCGCTGCCGAGCGCGACGCGCGTGTGTGTGTTCAGTTGCTGGCCGTGTTGCTGCTCCATAATCAACTCTTACTTGATCCTTATTGTCAGGCTTTAATTCTTATGATCAGTTGTGGTGGTTGGTTGGCTTTTACGATTGTGTAAGCTATGAAAATGAAGGGACCCGCTCCTCTAACACGGTAGCTGCTCTTGCGTCCTCATTCACCTTAAAGCACTATAAAAATTTTGACTCTGCTCACGCCTTGTCCATTCTTTGTTTACGCGCTCATCAAGGGCCTAGTTTCTCGCGGCTAACACTCATCTCGAAGGAATCTCGTTCACAGTTAAGTTCTTCTTCTGGATAAATAATATCGGTTAGATTTCTCAACGAATATTATACACATCTCAAGCTGTAAAAAAAGTGATTTCCGGTTGCATGACAGCAAATGACAGGTTGTGTTTCAAACGTGAATTTTGAGTTATTTCTACAGTCGACTCAACCATGCTTTCTTGCGTTTTGCCAATCACGCATTCTCAACATTACGACATGAATGTGTAACCATGATTCCTGATTAACCATGACATACTCTTGATATTACGACATGAATGTGTAACCATGATTCCTGATTAACCATGTCATACTCTTGATGTTACGACATGAATGCGTAACCATGATTCCTGATTAACCATGACATACTCTTAATATTACGACATGAATGTGTAACCATGATTCCTGATTAACCATGTCATACTCTTGACATTAGAACATAATGCATTACTTGTCAGTATTTCTTGACATGAATGATTCGGCACCCATTCTTCTCTTTACTTGGATGTAAAATCCTTTACTTCCGCAACCTGTTGAGATAGCAAGACATTGAGGACCACTGAAATGCCAAGCATGATTTATGGTGATGATCTGAGATTCTTGACTGTCTGATTTACTGTTTCATGATTTTAACGCCGGATTTGGTGCGGAAATTTTCAGTAGATAACGTTATCATGTTTGTATACATGAGGATTTGTGATCCAGTTACATTGTGTTAGCCGTCGATGTTCCTCTTGATTGTCGGATGTTTTATTTTAAGTAACTAGAAATGTAACTGCGTATTCTTCCGTTTGAAGATACCAAACGATTTCGATCGCAGTTTGTCATTCGGGCTTTTCTATTTTCATTTTGAGCAGAGAGACTTCGTTAAAGAAAATATGTTTGCTGTGATAATTTGATGTTTAGTTCCTTTTCCTCTAAGTTGACCTGCATCAGGTCCAGTTCATAGTCCGCTCGAGTAAAGAAGTGCGCATTGCACTATTGTTGATGCCCGGACTACATAGGTAATTTTTTTTTACAGTTAATGTGATCTTATTTAACAATATTTCTTCGTTTCGTGAAAAAGTACTTCAGAGACTTCGATCAATATAAAAAACAGAAGTCGATTCACAATTTGTAGTTCGTTTGACCGCATATTTTCTGACCGGTGAGTAACATTAACGGACATCGATCTGATTATTTTAGTATATTTTAGTACCTATATATGTTATTTTGTGATTATATCTTAGTATATCTTTCAAAATCGTAGGTATTTTTAACTGACAAAATTCCCACTTCATTTTTCTTTTGGACAACTTTTCCGATTAACCATATACGTAATTTTCACAGTTTGTTTCCATTGGGGTTAACATTGATGAAATTTATTCCTTTATAAGTTGAACCATGAATGCTTAATATGCAATTTCTATTATATATGAGTCGCTGTTTATTCCCTACAGAACATAAGCATGCGATTTAAACCATTTCTCCAATTTGTTTATATTTGCGAAGTCCTTCTATCTGCAACGTTCAACATGCCTCTGTACCCTACGGCAATCACTCTCCTTTATGCGTGCATTTTTCTTTCACAAGCAGTCAGCTAGAGGAGCGTTTATTTTTTTCATTATCTTCCTTGCAGTTTTAAAGCGATTACTTCTCTCTTTATCGATCAGCTCTTCTTTTGTTTTGCATCCTTGCGTGCTCTCGCTTTTAGCGTCTCATCCTCCCTACCTCTTATCGCTGGTCACGCATTCATGCTATTCAAGTACCATCTGTATTAGTACTTAAACATGAATAGAGCGGGATGAATTAATTCGATTTGCTTTCTGACGTCTAATAATTCGTTCTATAATTACGGATAAACTCTTGTCAGACCAATTGCTACCTTACACACCTGGGAGTTGCTACTTCTTGTATGTTTTTTGGCATAGCTTTTGCTAATTTTCAATTATGATGTATTAGCGCATACATTCTCGTCCGATGTGCCTCATAGTCATGACAAAATGCAATAATTTTGAACAAAATTCGATTTCAATCCTCCCGGCCGCGCCGTAATTGAGAAACAGATCCACATTTCGTAATTTTCATACCTCGCAAGTTTTCCCCGCTTGTGACCTCGCTGTCAAATCTGTACCGCATTTAAATTCTTCAGTTCCGCGTCGTCCTCACTGCGCTGCGCTTTGCGGCTCTAAAGGGGAGATGCGATGGCATTTCTCCCCTTCCAGTTGCTTCCATATCGCTGATATTTGCACTTCATCTCGGTTATTCCATCGGACAAACATGCCGCTCTGTCGGCCAGCTTCCAAAACGTTATTTCAAAGCGTATAGATAGACTGCCCTTGATAGAATTAATCGGTTTGAGAAAGGTCGGGAGTTGGTTTTGTTCTTACCTGTGGATACCTGTTGAAGGCAGTTTCTTTCAGTATATTTGGTGTGCAGTGGAATCTGAATTATTTTCGAGTATAAATAGGACATTTACCGTACTAACAGTTGCGCTATGACTCGTTTGTGAGTGTGAGTTGTTCGTGCCTCGTTTGTGAGTGTGAGTTGTTCGTGCCTCGTTTGTGAGTGTTTTGTTCACAGCTCGCTGATGAGTACAGGTGTAGGTTGCTTGGTCTCAGCCGTCTGTAGCTATCAGTGCGTCCGGCAGTAACGCTATTCGTGGCTGCTTAGTTACAAGCGTTATGTTAACATCTGTAGCTATCAGTGCGTCCGGCAGTAACGCTATTCGTGGCTGCCGAGTTACAAGCGTTATTTTAACATCTGTAGCTATCAGTGCGTCGGGCAGTAACGCTATTCGTGGCTGCCGAGTTACACAAGCGTGATGTTGGGCGCTAAGCCGGCTAGTGTGCCCACAAACTGCCTTGCATTGATCTCGGTAATTGCGCGGCCTCGCAGTGATGTTCTGCTGCTGATCTAAGGGTCAGGTTGCTGCTGTTGGCCAGGGGTCTGCTGCTGTTGGCCAGGGGTCTGATGCTGGTAATATTTCAGTTAATATTACGTTGATCATTTTTATATAACATTGCTCACTGCTCTGTTATGAAATGAGAATTTAACTCGACGTTTATTGCGCCCCAAAAATATTTTAAATTAAAGTTCTTGATGCTTTGTCAGCATTCCGCCCGCGCTCTAGCGAAGTCTCGGCTTCGTTCAATGTTCAATGCCTATATGACGGCTACTGCATTACCTCTAATTTGCATGCTTTCCAAAGTTCTACTCCTTGAAGAGATTCGCACAACGTCGTTATATTTTTATGATCTAAAGGTTATACTGAAATATTGTTGAACGATTCTAACAAGACGCAATTCATTAGTCTTGGACAGAATATTGGTTAGTCCCTCACTCCCTGAGAATTGGTTAGTCTTTCACTCCCTGAGAATTGGTTAGTCCCTCTCTCCCTGAGTATTGGTTAGTCCCTCACTCCCTGAGTATTGGTTAGTCCCTCACTCCCTGAGTATTGGTTAGTCCCTCACTCCCTGAGTATTGGTTAGTCCCTCACTCCCTGAGTATTGGTTAGTCCCTCACTCCCTGAGTATTGGTTAGTCCCTCACTCCCTGAGTATTGGTTAGTCCCTCACTCCCTGAGTATTGGTTAGTCCCTCACTCCCTGAGTATTGGTTAGTCCCTCACTCCCTGAGTATTGGTTAGTCCCTCACTCCCTGAGTATTGGTTAGTCCCTCACTCCCTGAGTATTGGTTAGTCCCTCACTCCCTGAGTATTGGTTAGTCCCTCACTCCCTGAGTATTGGTTAGTCCCTCACTCCCTGAGTATTGGTTAGTCCCTCACTCCCTGAGTATTGGTTAGTCCCTCACTCCCTGAGTATTGGTTAGTCCCTCACTCTCTGAGTGTTGGTTAGTCCCTCACTCCCTGAGTATCGGTTATCCTCTCAGTCGTTAAGTCTCGCTATTTCCTCCTTTTCTCGCCCATTCCTATTCACTCTCCCCTAAGCTTGTTCTTCTCTCGCCCGATGACTCGAGGAGGCGGTCTTGTCCTGCGTGTCGACGCGCCATCAGCCGCCCTCCGAGTTTACCTTGCGCTGCAATCAGGCTCTGCCCTCTGCTGTGCTCTGCCCTCTGCTCTGCTGTGCTCTNCTCTGCCCTCTGCTCTGCCGCGCTCTACCCTCTGCTCTGCCCTCTGCTCTGCCCTTTGTTCTGCCGCGCTCTGCCCTCTGCTCTTCCGCGCTCTACCCTCTGCTCTACCGCGCTCTGCCCTCTGCTCTGCCGCGCTCTACCCTCTGCTCTGCCCTCTGCTCTGCCCTCTGCTCTGCCGCGCTCTACCCTCTGCTCTGCCGCTCATAACCTCTCTGCAGGCGCGCCTTGCAACAAAGAAGCCCTATTATTCATATTCTGCCTCTCTATTTGTTTCATAAATTAGGTAATGTGTGTTATAGCCGTCGCTGTCTCTGGCCAGAAAAGTGCTTTGTCATTCGGGCTATGTATTCAGAGGGATGAAATGGTTTGCTTTTTTGAAACGATCGTCTTCTCATTTGAATGGAAATGGTTGAAGCGTAATTCGGTAAAAAGTTTGTTCCCGTAAGAGTTATGTTTTGTACGGAGGATGTACTCAATTCGTTACAAGTACTTCACCGGGTTGGTTGATGATTTGGATGTGCTGTATTCTGGTGCCTGTTCTCCCGTGTGCCAATCTATTTGGTTGTTTATCTTACTTGTTATCAACGAATTAAATTATCTGGATGAGAATGCATCTGCTAGACTCGCATTTGATCGATCATTAACGCTGTCAAAATGTACATTCACTGAGCTTTATTCTGTAACTCGTGTTGAAGTTAAATGAAGCTGTTTTACTTGATTCGTAATAATAATGATTAATACAGACTTAGTACCGTAACACTTTTAAAACGTATGGTTACACAGAGTAGATTTCCCTGATTTCGTGTCAAGATTGAATTATAATTATTTATATTATTTCAGACTGAACAACATGGCGGCAGACAGAGCGTCTGCTCCTGACGTGGAAGTCCTGTGCGTTGTCTAGTTCACTCGCTTCAAAACAATCGGTAAATTCCCGTGGCTCTATTGTTCATTGAGTTTCTAATTATTGTTTTTTTTTTCATCACACAAATACGATTACTTATTCGCTGCATACAGGAGTTCTGATTGATGCTTAACATTGAAGTGGTTGTTATATTCATCCTTCATCAGTCATGCCATTTTATTAGCAAATAATATTATGTTCATCCTTCTAATATTTTCATGTTCATCCTTCATCACCCATGTCATTTTATTCTCAAATAATATTATAGGTACACCACACGTGTTCGGCACATTCTAATTAGCTTTTGATATAAAATGGTCACTGCGGTCAAATTACTTACTCTGCATGACATCGCTTGAGCTCCAACTACCGTAGTGCATGCGTCGCTCACGAAGCAGCTGCGATGTGCAGTTCGCGTGTGGCGCGACGCTCTAAGTCTATCATGGTCTCTTAATGACTGGCTGCATCGTAGCTCTTCTTCTTCATCGTCATGACCTCGATGCCTTTGCCCTCCGCCGTCGCTGACGAGAACATGGCTTCTTCTTGTGTCTCCATGAAGCTCCCTGTAATTTAATGAGTTGAATTGGCGTGAAAAAAAAATAGAATCTGGTTTCTACTTTGTGTTCGGTTTTGGACATTCGCACAAGCAGAAATTTCTGTGAATAAGAGGTTACCGATTCTACTGTATTGGGAGTATATACATTAATATGATATATTTGAAGTGGTAAAAGTATGCATCTTATCATGACCGATGTTAATCTCGATTACGGTGTCGTTGGTAATCTGTAAAAAAAACATCTGTTGTCGCAGTTACCTTTTTCTGTGGTACCTTATTAATACGTGAATTTCTGGATAATTTCATTTTACTATTCGATAGTTTATTAGCGTCGCACGTGTGTATCAGTGATACGTCTCATTTCAGACGCGGATGCAGGAACCATGACGACACCAGTCGCTGCTGGGGCGCTGGACGAAGCGGTCTCGCCACTGCTTCCTGGCTGCCTTGGCTCATCCCGCAGCTGTCAGGCCAGTCGCTCTCCTTCCCCTGACCAGACCTCCATACCGTCACTGCGGCCGCTCTCGGAACCATGTTCTTCAGCTCCACCACTCTCACCTCTTAGTTCATCTCATTCGTTAGATTCATCCCATCGCTCATCGTCTAGTTGTTCGCCTGATGACTTCTTTGCTCCTTTCAGTTCGCCGGGCTCGTTACACAATTCGTTTACATCTTCGTTGGAAGCCCTGCACTCAGTTCGAATAAGAAGTAACGATATTTGTACACCGAGCCCATCTCATGCGACCCCAAGCAGCTCCGTCGATCATGCAAAACTTTTAAATCATTCAAAAAACTCTTGCTCCAGTAGCGATCTGGCGTGTTTCATGTCTTCTGAAGAAGACACTGTTACTTGTCCCCGCGTATTGGCATATAAGGACGTATCTGACTATCAACAATGCTATCCATCTGGTCGTGCTGTTGATGGTGAGCGAGCCTCTCTACATGACCACAATGAACTTTGGTCATCAGCCCATAAATTCGTAAGAGAAAAAGACTGTGGTCAGTATGCAGATGCTAAGCTTGAACGCCACGTCACTGAACCTCTTGAAAATAATGATTGCTTGGGTATGTTTGGGTCAACCTCTAGCATGTCTGTCGCAATCGCAAGAGAAGATGAGCTTTTCATTAGCTCTGCTTCTCAAGAAGACTTCATTAACGAGGACGAATTTCCATCTAAACGAAGTTCATATTCTGTTTATTCCGGCGGCAAACATCACTCGAAACCGCCAGAAGAGCCGCTAATGATGAAGAGTTCTGTCAGTGAAATTATAAAGCTCCGCCACTCAGATCCTGGGACGATCAGTCCTGTCTTGAATAATTCTAGATACTATCTCGTGCCTACCAATCACACAGAACACGGAACGACCTCTATTTTGTTCAGTCAAGATCTCAATAATTCTGGAGTGATGTTCCAAAATCCTGCTGGCAACGTCCCTCGTGCCTTTCCCTCCACCCAAGTATCCCCACAATCGCCTCAGCTTCCCCTGAACTCCGGACTGCACGGTCAGGGCTCGCAGGACTCGGGGATTGCCTCGTGTGGCCCCACTGAAGATGATGTTAGCCTCTGCCTTGCGGCGAGCAGACGAGTCACGGTGAGCTTAGGTTCTATTTGTCTTTGTGATGATGTCTGATCTCTCTCGACTTCCATGTCTTGATGTTGAGCGCTCAATTCATTTCATTACGTAGAACCGTTTTCAAATTTTGTATCTATTTTACACAAAATTGGAGTTATTTAAAGAATGTAATCTTGTATCAGCACACTTTTTTTCAGTAAGTATTCATTTGATTGATTAATACTGCGTCTAAAAAAGGGTTTCATTTGAATAGTTTTTAAAGCTTTAATTTTGGTGTGAATATTTGTTTTTTCTGCCAACGCGATGTGAAATGACGTGCAAAATTACAGTAGATTTATTTATGTAGTATTAATAATTGTTGTACAGACAAAAACCATGTTTTGAAAGAAATTTCATGATTTGAACTTTGTATTGAATATTAATACTACGACACAGATGGGTACGGTGAGCTACAGCAGCGACAGCAGTCAGTGGCTTGGTTCGTTGGAGTCTGACGGCGCGTCTGTGGACGGACCGGCGGTCGACGTCACTTCAATGCAATGTTGTCTGGCCAGCCCTGCACTCCAGCAGTCACGTCCCGTCAATTACCACTCGACTCTCAAGAAAGATATTCTGCCGTGCAGCCGTGAAATGATGAAATTGAATAAATCTAACTCTGCACCATATGGCAACTACGAATCCCAGCCAAGAGGCTTCCTGCAAACTGATACCGATTCGGCGACGCTGGAAGATTCTTACATCGACGAAGCACTGAAGTTTACGGAAACAATCAGACGTTTTCCCAATGTAGGATCGTGTGACGTCTTGATTGATGTTAATGGACAAGAAGTACAACAATTCAATCTATACGAAAATGACTGCGTGCTTGCAAATGCTAATGATAAAATTTTGTCGAACTCTAAATGCGCTCGTAAAATAAATGACGGTGTGCGTCGTGATTTCAATTCATTAAATGTTAATAATGGAGTTCATACCTTGGCAAACGTCTGTCGGAGCTACACATTTCAAGTCACTAGCACAAGTGGTTATCTCAACGCACAAAATTTCACGATGTCTGCTAAAGACTGCAAAGATGAAAATGTTAGGATATTTCGCCCTACTTCTTTGAACAAGCCAAAATTGGACGTGCACTCTTATTTCTCAGGAAAATCACCACTAAATGGCCGAGAAAAAACACATACCTCTAAATATGAGCGTGACTGTATTTCACCAGTTAATTTGCATCTTGTTACTATGCCTATTAATCAGCACAGCGGTTGTGTATTCCCTACATTGCAGAACCAACGATCGTTAACTTTTAGTGAAATCCGCAGTGAACAGAAATCCCATCCTGGCTCGGTTCAGTTTTCTTGTTCTCATTTAAATAATGAGGTACTTCGTGAAAGCTTAAATGCTATCAATGAACCTGTCTATGCAATGAGAATGTCCTCTCATATCTCTGGTTATGCATCTGCCTTGTCTGCAGCAATTGTGAAGCAGGTTTTCGAAGAACTACATTTCCCAACCTCGTCTCATTTTGCGATGAATTGTTACTGCAATGAACGTTGTAGAAAGCGTTCAATTTCATCAGATCATTACTATGATAAAGCAATAACTGTAGAAAATGCTAAACATAGTTCTTATGCCAGTTATTTCAGAAGTGTTCCTTGTCGGGCGGCAGTTCATTCCGATTGCTTTACTGGTGAAAATTGTAACCGAGATTTTAGCTGGTCATCAAGATCATTAGGTCATTTACTTTTAAGTACAGAACACCCATCTCAAACCTTTGAGAAGTCTGAAAAAGTCAATAAAACTTGTGATTTTGAAATGCACCGTTCCAGGTCTTCAACTGAATTGGAAGTACTTAGAACTATTCAATCAAATTTGGTAACAGGATCTGTCAAGTGTAAGTTTGGAACAGGGTCGCAAAGTGACGTGAAGAGAAGTGGACATAAAAGTGAACCTGTCTCGGAAAGTAAGGCGCGTACCGATGTCTGTTCTACTGCTCGTAAATCCAGTGTTCGAGGTTTAATAACTTCGCTTGATAGTCGATCTTTTCCTTCGCTTCATCCAGCCAATGGCATTGATGCTTCTTCCGCAGACTCGAACATGTCTGCTTGTAAGGTTCATAACCCAGTACGCCCAACATCATCCAATTCTCTCTCATTAACTGGTACTCGTTTACCATCACCCCGGGCGAGCTTTGAAAGTTTTAAATCTGTTGATGGTTTACACGATGGGTTTAGCGAACTAGAAACTAATGTGTCTTCATTGGAAGAGAAAGTAAAAATTGAGGGAGAATTTCGTTCTAGTGAATCGGGTAATGCTTTTCTCTTAGCTGCCTCGCCGTCGCCTCAAGTGGAGTACCCCCAGGGATGTAAAGGGACTAATGCGTGTTGTGACGAGGAAGATTTATATCCTAGAGATTTGGATACTTCAGAGTACAGTGGACCATCTTCACGCAAACCAGCTCGTTTTGGCAGAGCATTAGCTGACATTCATTTTAATTCTAGTCAAAAGAAGAAACGTCGGATTAGAACTCGAAGAAGATCATCTGGCCGTCAACGAGCGAGCAAAATGCTGCTTGAGAGTAGAGCAAGTAAGAGGTTGTCCCGCTGTAATGCACTTGCTTCAGACCCGGCTGAAGTTTACTCCCAGCCTGTTGACTCCATAGAGGAGACGACAATTGTACAGCCTCGTGCAGTGATCGCCACGCAACCGCGACGTTTGAGTCATCGTAAGCACCGCGTCGCGAGTTCCACGCTCAACGTCGGTTTGCCTTTGCTAGATTCCCCGACCATTGCTGGCTCAGGGAATGCGCCTCTAGGTATTGCAGCTAATGAGTCGTTCACTCGATCCGTTCAACCCAGACTTACTTCAACTAAACAAGAGACCAATGAGAAGAAGAAACACCGCAAATTTTTGTCGAAGAAACATACATTGAGGGTCTGTGAAACAACTGACTTTGTACAATCAAAGGAAAGTTTCGTACGTAACGTTGGTACAGCTCATTGCACCAGCCTCATGCCTTCACCTGACATACAGCATGAGCAGAATCTTCTTCTGAAATCCAAGGTAAGTTTATTTGTATTCCAGAAAATTGCTTTTACATTCTCATCATAATTTGTTAATAACTTCTGTATTTTCAGAAATACAGGGTGATTACGAAAACTTCCTGATTTGCATTTCTCGCCCGGCAGTAAAATGTGGAAAAAGTGCGGGGGAGTATGTCATATGAAAGGCAAGGTCATGAAGTTTTGTGTCCCGCCTAGTCAATTGTCGCTATGCATTGGACAAGTGAGCAGTGTGCGTTTGCTGTGAAGGCGAACCTTGTTTGGCCGGCCCGATTTGGCTACGCGTGATTTTTCATGGAATCATCTTAAATAAACTGTTTGCAATGACTGTCCCAGGACCCTACCTCATTTGAAGAACAACATATGCCAAGCCATCGCCAACATACCCGTCAGTACGCTTCAGCGAGTTGAACGGAACTTTGAAAATCGACTAACTGAATGCATCGACAATGGGGGCCGTCATTTCTCCGATGTTATTTTTGAAACTAAATGATACAGAAATTCAGGTGTCTTTTTCAATAACATTTATATTGTAATTATTTCTTTACAAGTTCTTTTATATAGAGCTTTCAACTCAGGAAATTTCCGTGAATCGCTCTGTATAATCGATTATGTTGCCTATTTCAATTGAAGTTACACTTATATATTTTTCTCATTTTAGGAAGATAATGGAGCAGATGTGATAGCCAGCGACTTGCCAAGCGGCAACGGGAAGAGCACGAAGCGGATGTCCCGTAAGGACAAGCACGAACATCGCAGTCTGTGTCGGCTTCTTCCGTTCGTTGGTATGCGCTGGTGCCAGCGCAAGGAAGATCATTCCAGTGAGTCCAGAGAAGGTGTTTATGTGGCGTCCGATTCTGTTGCTTCTTTGGCTCCAGAAGAGAAGAAGCGGAGCTTCCTGAGTAATCTTCGCTACAATATATTCTCATTTCTCTCTGTTGGGTCGAGTGAAAAGAGCGAAATAAGAACAGGTGTTTCTAACGTGTTAGCAAGTGAAGCCGGTTGCGGTAATGCTGATGACATCTGCGTTGCCTCAAAACCCTCGCCTCTACTTCCTCCAAATCCTTCTGACCTCCTCAATCACTCCAACTATTCGGCATTCACTCGTGCACCTGCAAGACTTCCTTCTGGAGAATCTCATTTGTCTGTCACAAGAGGGTGCAGTGAAGCTCCCGACTCTATGTTGCCCCCTTTCGAGGGTATAGAAAAGGAAACTCTCGAGGTTCTGACTGATGGTGCTGCGGTTGGTCCTACACTGCCTCCTCTGATTACCGCTACGACGGCTCACATTTCTGCCGATCTGAATGCCATCGAAAGCCGATCTCCTCAGGGACCACAAAATCATCGAACTCTGCCTCCTCTACCTCCGAAGTCTAATGGCACGACATCACCTCCTCATCCTCCCATCCCTCCACCCCTTCCTCAGGCTATACTTTCAGCTGTGGCTGTTACTCCTTCCCATCCGGCCGACGTCAACGTGTCTACTCCTCTTCTCAGAAATTCAAGCGGTACTGAAGCTGCTGACGATGCCCTTCCTAATAGAAACGAGCGGCTTGGGGAAGATGGATGCCATTTTGCTTCCATGATTGAGAAAGTCAAAGATGTGAGTTTTTGCAACAGAAACAATTCAAAATTCTATATCTTTTCACAGGATGTGAAATATTCCTTCTACTGATTTAGCGTCTAACCTAGTATCAACAGGCCGATTACATCTGGATTCACTTGGATTGTTTGTCACTATAAACTCTAATAATTATCGATTCAAAACGCTGTATTTATCTATTGGTAATACATTTTGTCATGTTGCAGTATGGCTGGTATTGGGGACCCATTAGTGGCAAAGCTGCAGAGAAGATCGTGAGCAACGAGCCGGACGGATCGTTCATCGTGAGAGACTCCTCTGACGATCACTATATTTTCAGTCTCACGTTCAAGCTCAACGGCCTCACGAGACACGTCCGCATTGAGCATGATCAGGGTGAGGTTTATTACATTCTTAAGTCTTTATGGTATGTAATTGTCTTTGCGTCACTTACTGTGGTTTTCTGGTAAACATGAAGTAGGCGCAGAGTGGGAAACGTACGCGAGTTGAACGGATAAATATATTTTGGCGCAGGAAACTTTTCGTTCGGCGGTTTTACGAAATTCAAGAGCCAGACCATCGTGGAGTTCATCGAGAGCGCCATCGAGCACTCGCGCTCTGGCCGTTATCTGTTCTTCCTGCATCGCCGGCCGGTGCTGGGGCCGAGGAGAGTGCAGCTTCTGCATCCTGTCAGCAGATACAGACGCGTCCAGAGTCTCCAGCATCTTTGCAGGTACGAATATGTCCGTTTTTTATTAATGACCATGAGTTCTCAAATATGTTGATTTGTTTTGTTCATGGAAGAAATACAGACAATTCAAAGCTACTTATCTGACATGGATTGAGAGACAGTCACAGTTCAACATCTCTGAAGGTGTGCTTTTCGCTGCGTATTATTAAATTATCAGGGGTTGTCGCTACATACAATTTATAGTTTAATCTTTAAACTCTAGTAGACATTGTTTATGGTGTAGTGACGTTCGGCACTTTTTGATCCCTCAAATTATGACAGTAATTCTTAGTCAGGAGGCCAAACTAATTTGAGCGAGACAGATCTTTTTGTTCGTAAATTAAGTCATCCTACCAGGTTTGCGTCATAAATACAACGGTTATTTTTGCACCACTTGACCAGGTTCGTGATCGTCAAGAGCGTACGGCGCGACAGACTGGCGCTGCTACCTCTACCTGAGCGCCTCGTGCAGTACTTGAGCTCACCTCACTACTACAGCGAGTTGGTCGACCAGCTCATGGCGGAAGAGGAGGAAGAAGAAAAACTTAGAGACCAACAAGAGAATGATGCTGATGATCTCGACGCTAGAAGAGAAGGTGAAGAACCCATGAATGCCGTTGTGGGTGAGAATAGGGCAAGTGGAGGAACAGTTGACGAGGGAAACGGTAATGTTATTGATCCTCACGAGTCTATACCGAGACGAGACGAGTGTGCTAATGCTAACACTGGTTGCTCCCCTTGTAAGGAGAACTCGTTAGCCTCTACACGCGACTTCGTGGTTCCAGATCTTGATGATCCTGAAGATGAGATCGGAGTGATATGCAATCCATTCGAATGTAGTGCAGTGGTTGAGGCATTACATCCATTAGATCAAGGCTCTAGTGTGGCTTCACTGGACAATGATGTGCATGAAATTTGTTTTGTTCATTGCCAGGAAAAAGAGCAGAGTTCCTTGTGCCAGCCTTGCGAGTCTCCTGCTGTCCAAGCTAAATGCTCATGTGCATCAGGCGGTGTTAAGGCCAACGTGAGCTCATTTTGCCGTCGCTGTATTGTGCACTCTCCTCGCAGTATATGTGTTGGTGGGCATCGTTTACCGGTTGAGCAAAACCAGGATGATAATGGTAACAGTGGAGCTATTGGAGAATCCGAGCAACCCTTTGTTAAAATTTTAACAGGTGCAGAATCTTTTTCTTTACCAGCGACCTGCTGTGAAGAGTCCTCTAATTCAGCAAAATTAGAAATTCCTCGAAAAGAAATTCGCACAAAAGATACGATCAATGTTACTAAATTTCAAAACGGTAATCGACGCCCGTTGTCAATGTCGTCTTTCTTGTGCAATGTTCCCAAGAAAGTTAACAAGATCGTGTCATACCAGATGGATCTGAATTCCGATGGCCCTACTTTAATCAAGTTCACGAAGCTTGTTGAATCTTCGAGTAAAGAATTTCACAATCCGTTGTCAGTTCTGTCAAGCTGCACTGACAGTGAGGCAGTAGAGGCAGCACCAAACAACAAGCCTCTCAAAGAAGAGAAGCTAATTTCACCTTGCATACGGGAGGAGTGTGTGCGAGTATGCGCGGTGGATGCCACCTACTCTAACGTCCCTCTTGATAATGAAATGTGTGCTACTCTTGTTGGGAGTAATACTCGACGCTCGGTTGCACGATGCTCTGCTTCCATAAAAAGTTCATTGAGTCCAGTGTCGCCGCTTGAAGATCAGCTCTCCAGAGGACATGGAGAGGAAAGTTGGACGACTTCTATTGAAGGATTAACGAAGGACGAGTCTATACTCCACGAAACTCCTCTTACATCTGTGATAGTCAATTCCAGTCTCGAGGAACTGGGAAACTTTTGATCTGATCAATCAGTCATGTTTGTTATGCGTAATGAAAGAAATACTGTGAATTGAAGTTATTATTTACTGCTATTGTTAAGTTTGCTGTTTTCGTCTAGGCTATACTTGATGCATCTGACCTTCCTACCTTAAAAAGTCCCACCTTCGGTGTGATAATTTTTCATTTAATTTCTTTGTTTTAGTTCAGTAAAAGTTTATGATTTGTTCTACCACTCTCGTTTGATTTATTTACCTCTACGGGATCTACAGTGTGATGCTCTTAACGCGATCTCGAGTATTGGTTTGAATTATCAACTCTCATTTTTGTTCATTATTCAGCTCCAAATATTTTTTGTTTGGGTATCAACAGCTGATGTTCTTGACGCCCCAACATCGTGTCAATTGAACGCTCGGCCTGCACACGCCGTAAACCCACAGCTCAACAATCAACATCGTCCCGTGTCGACATGCAGCTGTCTGCGAGACGGTGTACATTTTTCAACCGCCACCTGTGTTGAGTCTTTTAAACTCATCTATCGGAAAAATAGAAATATTTGAATAATATTTCAAGTTGAAATAGAAGTTCCACTTCGTTACCTGCCGTGAAATTTGAATACCTGCCGCTAAGCCCAACTATTCTAATTCTTAGGCTCTATTATCGAGTATCGTCATTGGTGGCAATAGACAGATACCCATTATGAAATATTCAATCTATAGCTTCAGCTGTCATTGGTATATAATTGACGACCCCTGCACCTTAGATGTTCATCGCCCTTGTTCTATGCGTTACAATAGACTAGACGGTATTTAGCTTGCATTGATGTCATGTAATGAATAGCTCATTTATGGTCACTAGGCTTCATGTACGCCCAAATAACTACTTAACCGCTATCATTTGGCATAATGTCATGTAATCATGCGAAACATTATCTTCTCACTTTAAAGGAGGTGCTGTAGAGAATTAAAGTAAACAATTCTTTGTTTGAACGAGTTCGTCATTTCAGAAGAGATCTCGAGGTCTCCGTACAGCCAGCTTGTTGGCTATCGTCTTGTGGACGATCACTTCCACGCAAGCATGTGTTACTTGCATTTGAATTTTGTAACTTTTGAATGACCTGGTGTTTTTCACCAGCGTTAAAAAAATGTTCTTTGGCGTGTACAAATAATCTTAGGTTTGATAAAATGATTTATGGCGTAGAGAGCTAACATTGAAGTTTGAAAGTGTCCAAGATATGGGAGTGTATCAAAGATCATGTTTGTCACTTGTGATTTTAGTAGCGTTGGTTTCGATGCTGAAATCGTGTGGTTATTCGAGCAATCACTAATTTTTCAGAGGATAAATTTATGAGTCATGCAGCATAACAATAATATAAATGAATAATAACTTGACGATTAAAACACTATACGAGTAATGTTTAAGGAATTAACAACCTTCACGTTCAAACGTGCATGCGAAGTTATGAAGTTCGTCGTGTGGTTAATTTTTGATGAACTCGGTCTGTATATATGGTGTATGGGATTGCAGTTGAATTTTTGGAATAAATAATGGTGCTGCCAAAAATAAGTTATGATTTTTTGTTTCAAAGAAGCGCAATTAGCTCTCACGTTTAATTGTTAACGTAGGAATAGAACCTAGAATAGATCCTTCCTGTTCTCCCCAACCCTTACTCCCAGACCTTTATAAAGATTGTCTAGTTCACTTTTTTGACAGAAGTCTTGCAGAGTCCCCAGGCATTCCCTTCTTCCTTCCCGATTCCTAAAGATGTTCGATGTGCCTCCCCTTATGAGAAATATTTAATTAGTATGCAATCATTCGACTTTCTTTTTGTTGCAATTTGTGAAGTTTTACTCGGCAAAGTATAATACATTTTTTTATATCGGGCCTTCAAAGTAATAATTTAACTGCGTTTTTGCATTGAATTTAAGCATATGTTGTACACTAAACACAGTGTTAGAATAACTTGCTCAAATGACGGTTGCATGCAAGTTCTTTTCAAACCGCACTTATTGCAATATTTTAGGACTAATGGTGGCTGATGTGGACATGCGACATCTCTAATCTGTTCATGTGCGTCGACTACAAATACTGTAGTTTAGTCATCGTTGGGTCAAGGTTTTAATCTGCGTTTTTATAAATGCTTCAAATCGAGACGAATACGACAAACGTTGTCCTGATTAGAGACAGAAAGCGAGACATTTCCGTTTTTCTGACGTTTTTTTCCTTCATCTCGGCGTTTTTTCAACTGCCCCTGCGTGATGAAAAATTCTGTTCAGGTTTGTGATAGCATTCCTATGGTACATTTGTGATACACGCCGTGCGAGGGGATTTTATGTGTATGAATTAATGGGATCATTTTTTATGCTCTATCAAAGATTGCTTTTACTAGGAGGCGCCGAAAACTTTTCTGAATTCAGACAAATACTTATCTAGACATTCAGTAGGAACTTTATTGCCAACCATTAGACGTCTAACTTCCATACATAGACGTCTAGAAGGATTCTGTGTTCATGCCTCTTATTTAGACGATGAAAGCAAATGTTTAGACGCATCAATTAAAGAATATGCTGCGTTCTAACCTAGACACTGTCAGTATCGTTCAATTCGTAACAAGAGCATTCCGATGCTGGCAACCTTTTTACGGTTCTAAAATTTCAAAACGATACATTATCGCTATTGCCTATGATTTGGATAGATTATTACTTGAAAGCAATCGATTTGGGAAATTCAGATAATTTCATTACATGTCGTGTTTGTTTCCAGCTCGCTGCTCGTAGGTTCGTGTAATGCTACTCAATTGGGAGTAACTGCCTTCTTCGAATTCGTTAAGGGTTTCCATTGGTGATTGTAGGTGGAAACCCTTTACTCCAAAAACCTTAATTGGTTCCAGTGGTTGTAGGCCTCATCATTGCAAGTTTACAAGTTTGTGAGGAATCACGTTCCAGGAATAATAGTTGCATTCTAAATATTGTAGAATACCAAACACTTATTCATTGCGACAGCAATGAAAAACATGTTCATGCATCATAAGTTGAGTTTTGTGAGAGTGATTCACGTGAGCGATGACGCGCAAAGTAATAAGCATTTTGGTCTCATGTATAGCGTGTGATGCATACTTTGTGTAGAATGCGGATTTCGAATTCAATATATTATTCTAGTTCACGTTGTAGAAGAGGAGTATATACAGCAGAGCTCTGGCATCTGTTTTTGATCAATCACACAGCGGAGATTCAGGGTATCGTTTAGCTCTTGAACTTCATAATACATAATCTGACCAATTAAACTGCTGTGTTTCAATTTCACTGCTTACTGTATCCATGAAGTATTACACCAGCTGGTTAACGGAAAAACTTAGAACCAACTGGCGGTATCAGTTGTATAATTTTCATCCTGTACGAATGTCATTCTGCGGTGAAGACAAGCGTTTGTCCTGGAGGTCGTGGCCAGGACCGTGCAGCTGGCCGTGAGTGTTGAGCGCGGGAAAGTGACACTTGAGCGAGGACAGTTGGAAGAGGCAGGACAGCTGGAAGAGGAAGGACCGTTGGAAGAGGAAGGACCGTTGGAAGAGGAAGGAAAGCTGGAAGAGGAAGGACTGCTAGAATAGGAAAGACCGTTGGAAGAGGAAGGAAAGCTGGAGGTGGAAGGGCAGCTGGAAGAGGAAGGACAGCTGGAAGAGGAAGGACTGCTGGAAGAGGAAGGTCTGCTGGAATAGGTAGAACAGCTGGAAAAGGAAGAATTGCTGAAAGAGGAAGGACTGCGGGAAGAGGAAGTACTGCTGGAAGAGGAAGGACTGCTGGAAGAGAAAGGACTGCTGGAAGAGGAAGGACTGCTGGAAGAGGAAGGACTGCTGGAAGAGGAAGGACTACTGGAAGAGGAAGGACTGCTGGAAGAGGAAGGACTGCTGGAAGAGGAAGGACTGCTGGAAGAGGAAGGACAGATGGAAAATGAAAGCGGGTCGAGAGACTAAGCTTTCTCTTCATAGGTCTGCCGGAACTAGCCATTACAGGTAGGATTCAAGTCACGAATACAATTTATTGGCTGCATTCCTTTAATAGATTTCTCAACCTTGCTATGGAGTTGCATTGTGAACAGTAGAAATTCTAGATGTGGAGGTGTAAAATAATTACAACAATGGGTAAATTGTCGTAGTAACAACTCGGGGATAAGCGATTGTCCTTGGTTAGTTAAGGGTATAAACAGTCAATAGAGTATGTTCAGCATGAATAATTTTTTTGGCTAAGCCGTTCCATTCACCTCAGTCCAGTTGATGATGGAGGTGCTCAAAGGCCAGGAAATGATTGTGGAGGATTGCTTGTTCTTAAGGTTTTCACTTTCGTCGCGCGGCAGCCGGGGAGACGAGTAAATTTATGAACATTATTTCATCGAAAGGGGGAAAATACTGGTCGAAAGAATTTGGTTATTTGTGAATAAACGGAATAAACTTAATTTTTTCAAATTCGGAAACAGTTGTTTGTGATCAACTTTCTATATACATTCTTCACTTTTACGTTTTAATGTCCAATAGCGCATTTCAATAAATTTTCTGTCATGTCATTCTTATCAGAACTAGATTACCTGGGTTGCAAGAGGAAGTTTGGTTTGTACTCAAAGGGAAGAAAATAGGGTTCAGTGGTGCAGACCATGATATAATTTTTAGAGGCTGGACATCCATGCTGCTGCTGCTGCTGCCTGACGTGCGCCCTGGCGTGACAGCCTCGTAGCAAGCGTGGCTGCTAGTCATCGCACGCGTCAGTCAAGGTGTGGAGCTTGCAGAGATATAACTATCCATTTGGCTCATCTGTTCGATATTTATTTAGATTACAAGCATCTCTATCGTCATCTTGCATCATGAAAAATAATAATGAATTCATTATATTCAAAAATATAATTTGTTGGTAGTGATCCATAGTCCATACACATACATACTCTTCGTTACGCTCACAAATTGCACGTAGCGATAGGGTCCGGTTAAAGAAAATTGTGATAGTGAAACTTACGAAACACGTCACAAAGCAGCACATTGTTCACAACGCTCTACGTAAATAATGGAAATGCTGGACATTTTTAGATGATAAAAAATTTTCTTAGAAGTCTCTTTTTATCCTTGGTTGAACCTTTCCATAATTGTTATATAACACGATTTCGTACATCACGCGTTTACCTAAGTAAACTTTAAAAATTTATTTGTGAATGTTATTTAAATTCTTCACTATTTTAAATCACGCAGTGTAAAAATATGTGCTGCTTTAAGTTATCGTTATATTACATTCACTCGAACAAAATCTTTTCAGGAATAAATATTCCAGCATCGAATGCCAGATGAGAGTTGAAGTGTTCTCAGCATGTGTGTGCGTTCTCTTGTTGCTCGTCCTCCCACGAGCCGCTGATGGGTTCAGTAGTGGCGCTGGTGCCTCGGCGTGTGACTCCATGATACCTCAACATGGAGGGCTGGTCGCCCAAACCACAACTTCTCCTTATAACGTCACCGCCCGCAACAATGGAGACAGGAGCATCACAGGTGCGTGGACCTTCTGTGTAAAAATATTGAAGTTCATATATACAAATATACTAATAAATATGACTATTTGGTGTCACCGGCTGTATTCGGTCCTTACTTTGAAAAAAGACGCATGCTCAATGTACAGGGTTGGGCAGAACCGATTGAGCAGTTTTGAGGCGAAATAAAAGAGTAACGGAGGTACATAAAGAAGAAAGTTTACTTTTCTCGAGGTTAGCATACCATACCATTTAGAATACATATGTTTTGAAAACAATATCAGGAAGATGGTGGCCGTTAGTTGATGGAGTTGTTCTCGGAGGCGGAAGTAACCGTAACAGTGAATTCCGAACGTTATGCTGCAATGCTGCAAAATTTCATGCAGCCGAGGATGGAAGACATGGTTGAAAATGAAGCATTGGGAGACGTGTACGTGGTTCCAGCAGGATGGGGCTACAACTCACACAGCCCGAATGTCGCTCAGTGTTTTGAGACGCATGTTTCCCGGACGTCTGGTTTCTATGAGCGGTGATTTACAATGGCCTGCGAGGTTACCTGATTTGAGCATTTGCGATTTCTTTCAGTGGGGACATCTAAAAGAAGTCGCCCTCTAAAACATCTAAAAGAAGTGGTTCAGAAGTCGCCCTCGCACCCTAGCACAGCTAAGGGAACGGATTATTGCAGAGGTTATAACCACACCTCGCACTATGTGTGAACGTGCTGTAGGAAACTTCCGAGAACGACTCCAACAGTGTGTTGCAGCTAACGGCCACCATCTTCCTGATATTGTTTTCAAAATATAAGTATTCTAAATGGTATTTTATGCTAACCTCGAGGAAAATAAAATTTATTCTTTATGTACCTCCATTACTCTTTTACTTCGCCTCAACACTGCTTAATCGGTTCTGCCCCACCCTGTTAAATATTATGTCACCGGTTAATTTGTTACGATTACAGTTTGAATCATTCACTTTTAATGTAGTCATGAAAATGTTAGAATGCGATTTCAGTTCACTTCGTTCGAAAAGTTAGTTTTTTAACTGCGTGACATCAACTGGACAATATTTACGATTCTCCTGCATTTCTAACAGTGATTCTCACGGCGCAAGAAGGCATCGTTGGTTTCAAAGGGTTTCTGCTTCAAGCCAGGAATGCCGCAGATGCTCGAGTCGGAGGCTTTGACAACTTGCCTGACGGGTCTCAATTCCTGCAGTGCACTGATTCACAAGTAAAGGTATGATATCTATAACTATGCTAGTAGTGTATGAAATATAACCAACAGTTCAGCGATAACATTTTATTATTTCCCTTAAGTTTTATGAGAATCTTCTTGAAGCGTTGCATTTCACAATATATTGCGCAAAGTGTTTGCTGAGAGAGTGTGAGTACTATGCCTCATATTTTAAACAAATTTGATTAATTCAACTTCAAATATTGTGCCCTCAATTATGATGAAGGACGCAGTCACTCACTCAAGCGCCGTTGAGAAGCGGCGACTGGAATTGACATGGAATGCTCCTGCATCTTTCATTGGGCCCATAACTTTCAGGTGATAAGTGCACCTCGTTTAACTTTAAGAAGATAGTGATGCATAACGCTTGAAACACTATAGAATATCATGTAAACAGTTGCACGAAAAGGATTCATTATTCATATTTATCAAGCAAATGTAATAAAGTGATTAAAAAGTAATACAAATATACTTATTCGCGGCTTTCAGCAACTAATGGTGCTGCTTTCTCATCACACGTTGATGATCAAGCATGTTAATAATGATTTAAAAGTGGAAAAATCATAAATCAATTCATTCTAAGTGAATATTGTTTTATCGTTTTTAAATGTTTCTCTTTTTCTGATTCACAGGACAACTTTTGTTCAAAGCTTCATGATTTTCTGGACTGAAGTTAAAAGTGAAGCGCAGCAGATACTGTCACTATCAACTTTGCCTCCAACCACTGCACAGACACTCCCACCTACTACTGCTTCTCCTACGTCACCACTTACTACTGCTCCATCTACGTCACCACCTACTACTGCTCCTCCTACGTCACCACTTACTACAGATCCACCTACTACCGCTCCTCCTACGTCACCACTTACTACTGCTCCACCTAATACTGCTCCTCCTACGTCACCACTTACTACTGCTCCACCTACGTCACCACCTACTACAGATCCACCTATTACTGCTCCTCCTACGTCACCACTTACTACTGCTCCACCTACGTCACCACCTACTACAGATCCACCTACGTCACCACTTACTACTGCTCCACCTACTACTGCTCCACCTACGTCACCACTTACTACTGCTTCGCCTTCATCACCACTTACTACTGCTCCACCTACATCACCATTTACTACTACTGCTCCTCCTACGTCACCACTTACTACTGCTCCACCTACATCACCACTTACTACTGCTCCACCTACATCACCACTTACTACTGCTCCACCTACATCACCACTTACTACTGCTCCTCCTACGTCACCACCTTCGACTGATACACTACCGTCATCATCTACAACTTTCCCTATGTCTCCACCAACAACAGCTTCGACTACGACGACACCTACTTTAGTTCCTACCACGTCGCAACCAACCACTGACCGTCCCATGTCACCACCTACCAGTTTGATGCCTTCAACAGAAAATTCAACCAATGTGCCCCCACCGACATTACCAACCACAGTACCTGCACTAACTACAGCCCCTATCACACCGCCCGGAACTTTTACGGTAGCGCCACCATCAACTGGGTATGGAATCCCTCCTGCAAAACCTAATTACGGCAACAATTATTTTCCGTCTTATGGTTACGGGGCACCGCGATCTCCTGATGAAACTTACGGTGCTTCCTCACTTGGACACAATTACGGTGTTTCAGCAGGAGATGCTTTTTACAATCCACCTCGTTTTTCAGAAGTTAACAATGCTTTTAACCCCCCAATAAGACGAGACACAGTGCTTTCATTGCCTTCTCACCTAGAGATCGATGGATTGGTTCCACCGCCTCCTCATTTTCGTGTTTCACCTCTACAATTCTCGATGCCAGACCCAGATTCAAAACCAAGACCCTATTTGATACCACGCTTACCACTGCTGGATGAGCATTCGAGGAGGCCATTTTCTTCATTCATGCCCTCCCGTGAACTATGCGGCCAAACAAAGAGATACCCATGTAGGGATGAAAAAATTTTGCCTAGCACTATTCCACTTTATGGATTAGCTGATAATATGAAAACTCTGTCGTTTTTCACAGTTCGTCATCCGCCTTCTTAAAAAAACAAACGTGTCATAATTGCGAATGAAATCTCCGATGCGCTGATTCGACATGAACTGTCTCGCATCACGTCAGGTTGAAAAAATCAAATTAATAATTAATTAATTACATAATTATATACTGAGGTGGCTCCCTTGCTCCAATAATTTCGAAAAAATCCAGTAATGTATCTCACATGCAACGTGAAGAGCCTCCGGATTAACTTCGCACTACTTCAGTCTTCACTCATCTTCGATATCAAAGCACAAGGCAGGCAGGCTATGAGAAGTTATATCAGTGATGACTAAAGTAAAAGTGTGCTCCACTCGCGGGTTATCGGAGGCATGACAGTTAAGCGCGCTTTTCCCCGAGTTGTGCCGATTTCGACCAGTGAGTCGATGTCTACATTGACAACTGAGTCGATGTTAGTATCTTCACAGTCACAGCAAATGTTTGAATTGGTCTTCCATGTTGGTTCGTCACTGAATCTCAAACGCTTGTAAATTTTGTCAATTTCCACTGAAATTTTTACAGCCAGTTCCGAGTTTTGAACCCCTAACTTGCTGCTACAATCTTAGCGATCTTAACGGCTTAACCTAAACTTTTTCACGTTGAAAGGCTCTCTTAACCCTAAGTTATGTTTGATTCACTTTAATTAAATTTAATGACAGTGCACACTTTAGTTTCTGATTCCGACCTTAATATTAATAATAATTGTGTCAGCTTTTATAAGGCAATTTGGTAAGCAGGCGATTTTTTTTAGATGACCGTTTTCCCTTTATGTTAACCGCCGAGGCCCGGGCCCCGAGTCTGCCAGTGAGTGAGACATGGCTGTGAGTGAGATATGCTTGTGAATGAGACATGCCGATTTGGTCCGATAATGAAGTGTTAAGAGATGCCTACAATTGTTGTGTTCTATGTCTTCAGACAACTTCAGTACCTATGATGTTCGGTGTAAGCGTATTCAAAGTAATTATATGCGTTTTAAACTGTATCTGTCATTCTGTCTTCTTCACCGTCAACGACAAACTTCTTAAAGAAGGGCTAGAAGAGAATTTGCTTAGCGTACATTAATTACCTTCGTTTTAAAAGAATTTCAGTTGACTGTTGAGCAGGCTGCTGCCCACTCCCACTATGCAGAGGGTGGATGCAGCGTCGCCAATATATGGATTTTTAAGCCCAAAGCGTTGCCGGCCATTTTAAAGATGCGTCGCCGGGTAATTTTTAATGAAAAGCCATTTATGCTGAGTAATGACGGACTATTTACAAGCCACAAACTTAGTTACAAGGTTGCATGCATGTGTTACCCCAAATAACTAATTTTACCCTAAAAACAGTCCGATTGTACAGCAAGTGTCAACTGAACATGTAATAAAGCAGTCTGACCGCTCATGTGACAAAAACTACGCAATCAAAAAAACGTTGTTTACATTTTTTGCGGGAACTCATCGCAACTGATTTCCGGACAAGCTTCGCTGCATCGTATTCCATCCAACGCACCGGAAACCTTACTTTTTTTCTAAATAGTTGGCCGAAGACTGAGAAATATATTAAATGCAAGAATTTCAATCTAAATGTGTCGGCAAGATCTTCTGAAGGCGAAAATTTGGCTACTGAAGCGTCGCCAAAGATCTTGCAATATTCATCCACTCTCTGCACAGTGGGCCTGCTGCTTGCTGCCTGTTGTGTTGAGAGTGGAGGGTGACTGGGTGAGGCTGGCTGTGGCTGGCATTATGGCATACCTAGTCAGTACCTACCTGAGCCTTAGCTCAGCTTAGCATAGTGAAATTCTAGGAAGGGAGGTAGTACTTGTGGCACTCTGCCTTTGGTCAAGCACTCCGGCAATTGGCAACTTGCGTCTTGACTCTTGAGACTTGCGGCGGTCTAAACCCAGCTTGGTCTCTCCCAGTCTCCTAGACCCCAGTCCCCAGTGGAGTTTCAAAATTTGATTTTGATAAAAAATAAGAATTGAATTGTAAAATTGCTTAATGACTTCCCTTGGTTGCACTTGCAAAATGCCATCAATGATTGAAAAAATGACAATGAGTCAAATCACTCAAATGTCAATGACTTAGCTACTGTCAAACGGGGTAAAAAGAGACCAGTTTGAGTGTTTTTTGTTAATAACTTCTTACCATGAAACATTTCAGAAACAAGTTTAGGTAGGCCGTAGGCTCATTTTATAGCTCTTTGCAAGGGCTAGGCCTATCATAGTGACAAAGCACAGATTTTTTAGAATCAGTTCATTTTTAATTTCCTCATTTACTTCAGATTTATACCAATTTCTTATGTATAATAGGGTAAACGCGGTATAAATTTAACTGATACATATTGCCATAGTGGCAAACCAGGGCTTTTTTAGAATCAGTTCATTTTTAATTTCTCATTTCAACCATCAATGAACGCATGGAACTAAAACAAAGCTTAATATAAAGGAAAAGCTGGAGAGGTGACGGAATTACCTACAATGTTGGAATATACAGTGTTTACCCTAAAATATCCAACAATAAATGTCAGCTCAACATAATTAAGTCTTTTTCCATATTTTTTTTCTTTTCACAACCAAAAACACAGCATGTACGTCCGTGGTATTTGCTTACTTGAATGTATCTTGTTGATGTTTGTAGCTTTGAAATGAAATGAGTGCAAACACTTTGAAATTAATGAGAATAATGATCTATAAATACAAATTTAATTTAAAGAAATCTTTAAAAATATTGTTACATATTGAAAAAAATAATCATTTATATATTTCTGAAATTTCTTTATGCAAAAACTAAAGCATGCACATATATGCAGTTTGCTGCAATAAACAAGCCTTTTCAAGCTAGCAGCAGCTACAAAATGAGGAAAGAAATAGGAAAAGTCAAAATTTTTTAGCCAGATGCTCCTTTAAATTGCACAGAAATTTGTATGAATTCAATAAAAATTGGCTTCATTAAATAATATTGAGGGGCACTCAAGATAGGGCATTATCTTTTCATAGTATAATTTTTAGTTGTAAACAATTTTATATTGATTCAATGATGTACACCCCCTCAGGGGGGACTTCTGACTTTCCCTTCTGTCTCTCTCGTGCGGGCAGCCGACGTCCCGTGTAAGTGACCTCTTGTTCGAGTGTCTTTGTTTCTGTTGCTTTTCACCTGTCCCTCCTTGTCACTTCGTCTCTTTGAGATGCTAATGCTGCTTCTTTCAAGCCAGCTTCAGCGGGCTGGACATCTGAGACCTTCCGCTCCTTGTGGGTGATGAATAATTGAGACCTTCCACCTCTATGGTGATGTACATCTTGACTTTCGGTGCGAGATAGCTAAATAGCTGAAGTGCTAGTAAACATTTGGCCACTAAACTAACTAACTAACTCAATGATGTACAAAGAATTTTATTTATGCTTCTAAAAAGTATGAAGTATGAACTATGGACTCCTTGTGCATTGGGAGTGCTCGCAACGGGCCGCAGCTAGCTTGTACAGATGCCAAAGGCACTTTTCTGGAGTTTCTTTCTGTTAGATATTAATTGATTTTCCGGATCTCCTATAATTGATTTCACATGTACACATGAGTAGAGTGGTACTAACTATGCTAATAAGTTGCAATGGTTATTTTATAATAGTGCAATTAATATTGTTCATGACCATTTCTTATGAATTAAGTTCATAGGAAATCAATTGATTATCTTTTGGTTTGGATAGTGCTCTGCATCTTATATCTTTGAAGGCTTGATGCTAGCCATCTCATTGGACAGACTGCTTCGAAACTTTGACCAATTAGCACTTGGCATTCTTTTCCGCGGAGCACCGACCAACCGCAGCCCACAGTGGTTGACTGGAATTCGTGGAAGAAGGTGTAGTACCTGTGGCACTCCAATTATGACAGAGGGCTCCTATTTCCCAAAAGCTCATGTTTTTTTATTCATACCGTAAAATGGGGTAACTTTGACCACTTATTTTTCAAAATGTCATTTTTTTACTAGATAAGTTAAAATTAAATTGAAACATGCAAAATACAGGTCTATACTCTATCTTCAATCACCATAAATTGCTGGCTCCTGCCTCTCATAGTTCTGATGTAATTTCAAAAACAGTGATGGTCTTTGTTACCCCAGCTCTTGGGGTTTCTTTGACTAGGTGTTGAAATCAATTTTATTTTTTTGGTAAAATAACTCCAAATAACTCCAGGTTTTGGTGCATTGTAGTAGAACTCTTCTAGTTACATATGCAAATGACAAATATTATGAAAGTGTCATAGTTTGCAAATGGGGGGCGCCGCCCCCAAATGGGGTAACTTAGACCACCTAATGTCAGCCCTGACGCTGTCTCTTATACACATCTAGATGTGTATAAGAGACAGAACTTCGATATTCAAATGCTGAATATCTGTCAAGTGTCAATATCACAATCAAGATTATTTCACAATCAAAAATATGTTATAATATCACAATCGAAAATATTATTCACAAATAACCATTCATTTCAATGCCGAAATGGACTCCCATCTAATCACGCTAGCCATATGCTGTCTCTTATACACATCTAGATGTGTATAAGAGACAGGGACTATAGTAACAGGGACAAAAAAGGTGGAGACATA